TGAACCAATATCTAGAATGATTAAAAGTTGATCCAGGTGGACTCACCCAAAATTGTAAATGACAGACATTTAAATGTGTATGTCTTTCAATCTTATATTAGATTCAAACTATGAAATGACAAGAAGGAAGGAGAATTGTCTATTCTCTCCTAGGGTTAAATATGCTACTCTTTATGACAAGAGTACTGACTATCAAAAGAACAGATACATCTTAGAGAAGATGCAGTCAAAGTACACCTTGAAAGCAAGGATGGTAAATCTTTGTTTGTCTCATATATTTTGGAAATGTTGCTAGGAGAGGCTATTATTCCTTGGAGGAGGACATCATACTTGGAAAGGTGGAGAGACAGCAAAGGAGAGAAGGACTTTTTTTCCCTATAATTATATTTTATTAATTTTCATAAACATTTACAGAGATTTTGGGTTTCCATTCATTCATTGTTGCACTATTCTCTCTACCCTCCTCCCAGTTTGTTCTTGTCCAAATGCCACAGTGCTTGTCAAAGCCAGTTCTGATTAATCTTCTTTGTCAGTGTATCCTTTGCCATTCCCTATCACTCCTCCCTGAGAGAGACTTCACCCTGAGTCATAAGGAAAAGGGGACGGAGTATTCTCTTAGCTACTTCCTGCTGAAAAGGGACGCTGTGGGTTTCAGGGTGAAGATCTTCTCTCACTACTCTAAAGGGCCCCTTTGGCAGTAGGAAACACATAGACTATTATGGAGATTGATTTTGGAATTTAGATGCACTCTTATTGATTGTGCTTGGCCGTACATGTTCATATCCTTGAAGATGTATCATGGGGGTGTTGCAACCTAGAAGACACAAATTTGACTAACAAGTTATAAGTACATGAGTCCAAAAATTATGGAAAAGTAAAAGAAAAGATTCTTTCATTGTTTTACAAACCCTCTCCCAGGTCCCCTCCATCATGTAGCCCTCGCTCTAGTCTCCTGTGATGGAGAGAAGGACTTTTAACAAGGTGGATTGACACAGCAACTGCAGCAATGGGCTTGAGTAGGTTCAAATCTATTTTTCACAGGGTTGCTATGAGTTGTACTTGACTCAAAGATACCTTACAAGAACAACTCTTTAGAACAACTCTTTAGGAAAGCAATTTATCATTCCATACCTTTGAGACTGTTGCTAAGAATCTTGTTGACGTTTTTTAGTAATGTTGACCAGGTTGTGACTGATTCTTTGTCTTCGACCCTAATGGAACATGCTGAACCTTAGCAATATTCTACAATTGAAATATTAAAGAACAAGGTTGTCCAATAGTCTTATATAATTCTTACAATTGAGTTATTTCCAAATTTCAAATCAGATTTTTTTTGTTGTTAGATGTCATTTACTTGATCTTTAGCTCATAGTGACCTCATGCCAAGATGTGTGAGCAGTACTGTTAATTTTTCTAGGCTCAAACCTCCAGGTCTTTTCACTCATTAAGTCACTGGATGGGTTTAAACTACCAACCTTTTGATTATCAATGGAGTGTTCAATAATCTCACTGTGGGGGCTCTTTCAAGACAGATTAGCACCTGTAATTGTTATACCATTTAATATTTAATCAAACTTTGGATTTCTTTGAATCTCAATATATGACAATGCCTTTTTAGTTTAACACAAAATACTCTTCAAGTGTATACCTCACATTTTTAGTGTCCATATAACATATATGACTGAATTCTAGATATCACTCCTGGCTTTCATGTATTATTTGGTTATAGATTTCAGATTATTCTGCTAAGTAAGGCACCATCATTTCTGTTAGTATTTGCTTTCAGGATTTTTTTATTAAGTAGAACATCTAGTTTTAGTCACACAAGTGTTGAGGACTTTCATTCATAGGGTCACTATGAGTCACCTATGACTCAATAGCACTTAACAACATAGAGGGAGACCAGTTGGCCTAGTGAATCAAAAGTAATGCTACCAAGCCAAAGATGGGTGACTCTATTTCGCGGCTCTCAGGCCTGTTTTTCATTGTTTTTGGTCAAACATTCTTCTAGGCGTGTAGGCCTGGTGTGTCCACTTGCTATACAGAGGTAACTTGTGGTTGCTGTGAACCTGAACACTGTGACACTGGTGTGTCAAATGCAATAATGGTCCATGGTGGACGGCGTTGGGTGGAGCTCCCTAATTAAAACAAGCTTGGAAGCAGGAGTGGCATTCACTTCCATAAATAGGTTGCCTCTGGAAACCCTATGAACCTGGAGAAAGTTTGAAAGTCACGCAAGTGTAGAGGATTTTCGTTCATAGCCTTGCTATGAGTCGCCTATGACTCGACAGCACTTAACAACAACAACAACAACAGAACATCTAGAAATCTTGTTCCATGCCATTACTGTCAAGTTGATTCCCACTCATAACCATAACCAATCAGGACAAACTAGAACTACCCCACATGGTTTCTGAGACTTGAATAGAAGCAGTTGGCTTTTCTTTCTCCTGCAAAATGAATGGGTTTGTTACACTCACTTTTTGGTTGGTAGCCTAGTGCTTACCACTGTGTAACCAGGGCTTCTTAAAAATCTTGTCCTCCAAAATTAGAACAATTTGTGCAAAGGGATATACTTCAGTCACACTTTTAGGACAATTTTGGTATAAGACCACTAATATATTTAGAAAAACCAACCACAAAATAATTTTTACACAGAAAGAATGAATCTTGGAGTAGCTAGTAAGTTCAAACCTTTTAATTCATTAGGAAGTCCACTAATATATAAATCATTGATTTTTATAATATTTATTTACAGTATAATGTTATGTTAATTGAACTAATTTTATTAGCATTTTCTCTTCTGGTGCTCTGTCCTAGCCAGTTTCCGACATGTCCATGTATTATGGTGTAAAGCATAGGATCAAGAGTGGTTCTTTGGTAAACTCCTGAAGCAGAATCATACAAACCTTACACACACACAAAAATATGTGGAAGACCTTGACACTGGTGCATTCATCAGTTATTTTTCTCTGCAAAATACAGTAATGCAAAACTGGGGGGAAAAGACTTATGAAACATTTTTTAGACCTTTTATGACATTAGGCATATGTGTAATTATTAGAGTGAAATAGTTGGCTTGGAGACCCCAATTGTATTTGACTACGCTCACTAACCAGTTATGTAGCTTGCTTGTGCACATTTGCCCTGCAGAATAATTAAGATGTGGGCTTCAGGAAAATGGCAAATTATTACACATCTAGGATCCATGATTAGTCCCAATTATAAGGTTAAATTCTTATATAAGGAAAGTCTACTGTGTTACACAACACAGTTTCAGTGTCTACCTACTGGTTGTTGTGGTCACTTCTGACTCATGGCAACCCATGTGTGTCAAAACAGAACAAGTGAGCAATTGTCCAGTAGTACAGCTTTAATTTATTTCATCATGTGTTAAGCTGATTATCTTTTTGTATAAAGGTATTTTGTATTTGTGTATGTGTGTATTTATTCATACATTTGTATTCTTTTCTCTGACATTTATTACTTTTTATAAAGTTTTAAATAGCTCTCTCTATATTTGATCAACAAGTTATTTATCTTTGCATGAGTGGAAATTTTTTTCCATATGCAAATCAGAATGTCTTTGGATTACTGCTTGTGACTTATATGTTTGTTTTGACCTATCACTGTGCATTAAGTGCCTGAGACCAGGATGCCTTTTCTGGGAATCTAGTCCTCTGATTTTTCAATAAGGACATGATCTGAATTATTGCTGATGTCCTTGTTTGATGAAATTTTGCTTATTTAAATGATTACATTTGAATTCCGTATATCTCCTTTCTCTCTATCCTCACTAATTGTCGTAACTTCACAGTTCATTCTTTGTATACACCTGGAAATATTTGCTTCTACTTTAAATTTTGGTTGAACCTGTTCACTTAAACTTTTGATTAATATGTAACAGAGGCCTTTCCTCGTGTACCTTATATCTCCTACAGTAGCAGCATAGAACTGATGCCTAGGAAGCCATGGAGGTGGTTGTGATGTCAAGCCAAAACACCAAACTCATTGTTATAGTGTTTGTTTTCACTCATAGTGATCCTGTAGGGCAGAGAAGAACTGCTCTGTAGGGTTACCAGGCTGTAAACCGTTATTGGATGTTGATTTCTTCATCTTTCTCCTTGTGGAGAAATTGGTGTATTTGATCCAACAACCCTTTGGTTAGTAGTAAAATGTTTTAGCCACAGCACCACCAGGGCTCCTTCAGGATGCCAAGGTGAAAGGTAATTTAAAGCTCCCTCTTTGTTTAGGCAAGATACACTTTCTGAAATTGATCCCTCATTTTGTCCCTTGAACCAAGAATCAGGCTGTGGAAGTTGCCCTAGACATACTGACATCAGCTGACACAGACCTACCAGCCTTGGCTTCCTTCAATCTTTTCTTCCCACCTTCCAAGGCTTCTAAGAATCATTCCCCTTCTAAGAAAGATCAGGTCTTGATTCATCACTAACCTTCCTCAATAGCCTTCTTCTTTCCACACTCTAAGATTTCAATGCAGCAGACTGAAGGAAGAGAAATGAGAACAAGTCAGGAGTTCAAGAAGCCATTGATTTTAATGAGCCTTTAAAAGAAGGGTAAGGAGTTTGGTGGCAAGGTGGTGAGTAGTGTATCATCTTCCTTCATTGGCAGGGGCTGATGTGTTAGAAGGAGGGGAAACATAACTGTTCTCAACTCAGGCAAGGGGTCAACAGGGAGACACTTGGAGATCTGGAATGTAGGAACTTCACCTCTTGTCAAGAGGAAAGGGAATGAGAACCCAGGAAGACACAGTTACTTTCGTGTATCTTTAGTATTGGACAATACTACACTTCTTGATGCGTGTACAGGGGAGAAGGGAAACTGGATGGAGAGGAGAAAAGGTCAGAGGGTTCAGCAATTAAAGTAGCCTGTAAAACTTGATTGGTACCTCACAATACAAACCAGTTGGATAGGCAAGCCCTTGTCTCCCCTCACTCTTAACCACCTTGATGACCTGCCCTCCCACCTTGCCTCTGTTTTCACTTCTTACGTCCAATCTGTGCCATCAGGTGGGCGTTGGCTGCTGCCTTGGCTCGCAAATTCTTAGCCTTGGCGATGTTGAAGAGGATGTTCATGATATTTGTGGGGACGTCGAGGGACAGAGTGAACTTGGTGCGCCTGTCACTCTTGGCCTTGTCCTGGTACAGCTTCCCCTTGAGCTGTGCTTGGGACAGAGATTTGTATGGAGTGTTTCCAGCTCCACTCCCAACCGCAGAGCCAGAGAAGGTCCTTTTTTCCTTGTCCTCTTTTTCTTCTTCCTCTGATCCTGATGAAGAGTCTTGGCTGGGCAAGTAGTAGAAGCTTCTCTTACTTAGCAGGGGTTCATCCTCCAACTGGTTCTTTTTGGCCTCAGATAGGGCTGTATTGATGCAGCTGAAGAAGGACTCCGCTTTGTAGAATTTATGGGAGAGGCCAGTCTGTGGGGCCCCTAGGAGCAGCAGCAGTAGCAGGAGGAAGTGGGCTGGTATCAACATCTCTCCCTGTAACAGAAAAGAGGGATGGGGGAAGGGGTGTGAAAGGAGTCAGAAGGACATGGATGAAAATCCAATCACGCTGACTCTATGTGTGTCAGACTCTAGTGCTGTATGGGATTTTCAGTGACTGAAGTTTTGCAAGCAGATCACGAGGCATGCCTTCTGAGACATTGCTGGATGGATTGAAAGTCCAAACTTTTGGTCAACAGCTGAACATAATAACTGTTTATGCCACTCAGTGGTTCTTAAAATCTAATGGAATGTTGTCAAGTGTTTTACTATAAGATTCTCAAAGTATAGTGACCAGACCAGCACCATCAGTATTATCACAAAATTTGTTAGAAGTGCAAATAATTAATTGGGTCTCATTCAGAGCTAGTAAGTGAAAAAAAAAAAACCAACAAAACCCCTGGGACTCAACAATCTGTGGTGCTATAAATCCTCATATGCTTCTGCTGAACACCAAGTTTGAGGTCCAATCCTAAAAGCCATTTTTCTATAATATATGTAGACATTCTTGGTTATAAGTAAGGAACCCTGGTGGCACAGTGTTTAAGCACTTGACTGTCAACTGAAAGTCTAGTACTTAGAGTGAATTAACTCAGTCATATAAGGATAAATATTGTATAAAACTGTTACTGTAGAATGAGTATAAGGATCCAGAGGAGTGGGAGAGGCTGGAAGCAGAGGGATGTGGATGTACGGGGGGAAAGGGGATTAATTATTGGGTTGTATAATTTAATGGGGGGGTGAGGAAAATTGAAACAATTTGTCAAATTTGTATTTGAATTTTGTAGATAAATTAGTAGGGGAAATAAAGGCTAGTAGTTAGAACCCATCAACTGCCCCTCAGGAGAAAGACAGACATAGGTTCAAATTCCATCTTTGTTTTCATTTGTCTGAAGTCTGTGAGCGGATTACTTAACCATTTGAATTTTAATTTCCTGGCCTGATAAATGAGAATTACAATAATTATCTCATAAAAGCCATTGTGGAAGACTAAATAAAAATGACTGTATATGAAAGTTCTTGGTATAGCCAGATACTTAATAAAGGCTAGTTCATATTTGTCTCTATATAAATAATCTTCAAGTCCTTTTAAGATAAGATTTGATTTATACATAACCTTTTCAGAAGTGCATTTGTTACATATAAGCCAGGTTATTTGATCCTGTCAGTTGATATTTTGTTGTATTTGATCCTGTCAATTGATATTTCTGTTGTATAGGATTTGGGTGTCTATTTCTTGGGTATCTATTACCCTCTATACCCCAATCATAGCAGGGTCTTTCCCATTTTCCTTAGTTTAAGTATCAAACTTTAAAGCACTTCAAAACCATGTGGATGAATTGTCTAAACAGATCCCTGGGTCCCATACCAAAAATTTCTGAATCAATAGGTCTGCTTGGGATCCAGGAGCTTGAACTCCTAATAACGTCCTAGGTGATATTACTGCTGATTATCCATCCTACGCTCCCCTACCCCATAACCCTTTAACTACTACCAGTTTAAATACTATTCTTTCATTTCTGCACTTGTCAGAATTGCATACTGAAATTCATGGAGAATATTTGGTAGACTATCTCCAAGGAAAAATGTACTTGATCGCTTAACTAAGCATTGGTTACTTGTTTCTACATAAATATAGAATAAATCAGGGATGCTTTTAGTTTATGCTTCATCCACTACATTGCGCTGGTTCTGATGACAGTGACTTTTCATTGAGTTTCTGAGAGTATAAATTGTTATGAGAGCAAACTTCACATCTTTTCCCCTGAAAGGAGCTGGCGGATTCAATCTACTAACCTTTTAATTAGTAGTACAACATGTAAAGCACCACACCATGTAAGCTTGAAAGTAATAGCTAATAGTGTGTTAACACTAAAAGGATTTTAGTAACAACAACAAAAGACAAGAGAAAAGGTTAGCATTGGGGAGGAAGTTGTGGAGAAATTTTCTTCTCTTTGTCATTCTATTCCTTTGGTTCTTTTCATACACTGCTGCTTTCATAGACCTGATCCTTAGTCATGTCCCTCCATTAGCAAGCTCAGTGACTTGTTAAATCTTGGACTTTATTTTTAAATTTTTATTACTGTTGAGAATATAGGGAACAGACATATGTCAATTCCACCATTTCTCCACATACAATTCAGTGGCATTGATTACATTCTCTGAATTGTACAAAGCTCAATGACTCCAAGCATGTCTTTTAAATGTCCTGTATCTTGGTGTTTTCACATATGAGCTCAAAGAGCTGAGTAAGAGAAACTCTTTGTTCAGGTTCCTTTCTTTTTCTACTTTGAAAGGTAAGAGTTTCCTCTATAAAGAGCATGATTTCTGTAGCTCTGAAGGCCTAAGGGCAAGAAGATGTGCTGCAATCCTGAAGACATATGGTTCGTGGCCACCAGCAGCTCTACGGCAGAAGGATGGGCAATCACCTCCTGTGTGATTTACTGCTTCTGAAAACTCATCAGAGGATCAACTATGGGTCACTGTTGACTCGATGGTACACAACGACAACCATATGAAGAAGAATCTGAGTAAATTTATGTCAGATGAAGGGATTTTTGAGACTCTAGCTCTGGAACTGTCCTCAGGCTTTCCTAGAGATGAATTTTCATATTCTCTCTCTCTCTCCACTTGTGTTGCCTCTTCATTCAAATTTGTGGCACAACCTCTAGAAATGAGAAACCCTTTCCTCTTTCTCCAAAATCCTTCCCAGGCCAGTTGTCAGCATTCATCCTCTAATATTTGGAATTTTACACAGTAATTGCAAGTATGTTGATAAAATCACTCAGAACACATCCTGTGTCCAAGTAATATGGGGATCTATCTATCTCTGCTCACACTGTCTGCTTCCGTGAGCTGAATTAACTCATGAAACTATCTTAAAGCTGAGAGGCACTTTTGAGTGTTGGCTTTCTTTGGCATATCCATGTCTATTACAACAGGCAAACCTTTTACTCATTTTGGCTGTCAACTCAGTCATTTGGGCTAATTGGAAGCACTGAAGTAATTGATAAAGTCTTACACTAAAGAACACAATAAACATTGAACAAACTGAAGAATACAGGTAAAATTATGTCTAAAATTTAATTTTAATTTTTTGTTTCAATTTGATATCCCAGGAAAATTTTTTATAGAAGCACCAGAAATTTTGGCATGGCATTTAGTTAAACCAATTTATTTTCCAAGGCCAAACAGTCTCTTTTAAATTCCCTCATGGATGTATACTTTCTCTTACACGCATTTTATCACATATTGTAGAAGAAAAATATTTATAAGCTATGCATATATATATGTGTGTGTGTGTGTGTGTGTGTGTGTGTGTGTGTGTTCACATCTATTTAAATCATGCATATGTGTTTGGGGTCACTCCTACAATGGGCAAATCTCTGGAAATGTTACATGTCTAATTTCAATTACAAAATTCATTCTTTGGCAGTGGGAAGGAAAAGTCTCTTTAAATTCTTTATTTGCTTTTAGTTCAATTTGTAAATAGAATGTCTTTTTTAAAAAATGTGTTATTGTCTATCTTCTTTTTTTCTAGTAGTCTTGCAGCAAAGAAGAAAGTACTCATGGAGAGTTTGTATATGATGTTAAAATGATTTGTTAAAAGTGTCCTATGCATTGGCAGCAGATTGGAGGATCTTTTCAGATCCTTCACTTTTTGCAAACACTTGGGGTAGAGTTGTGGGGTTTTGGATATGTTTATGATTTTGTACCAGTGCCGAACAGAATTACTCTTAATTGTAAATTGTACATGCTATAGGAACCCTGTTTTAATCTTCGATCTAAACCAAAATGTAAAATTCTTTGTGATCCTAGATATATTCTCCATCAAAATGAATGGACAAGAGAGGAAAGCAGGTTCAGATCCCTTCCTGGAGCTTTTCTTTTTAGGCTTTGTTTAGGGATGGAATTTGCAAAGAAAAGACCTCTATTACTCCTCACAGTCTAATTCTCACACAAGTTTCTCCTTTCACGGTCTTTGGATTCTTTTGCCATCAACCCTAGTGAAACTACATAGAATCTTAAAATTTTCCTTTTAACATACTGTTCTATGAATCATTATAGAAGCACTTTCCCAGAAGATTTTTAAAGTTTTATAGTTACTTCTCAGAGTTGTGACAGATACAAATTCTGAAGTGAGGGGTTTGGGCATATGTAAAATTCAGAGGACATTCTACCAAAGAGAAAGTAAAAGAAGGGTAAGCAAAGGGGGACAATGAGGCCGGAAGGCAAATGTCATTGATCCCCAGCTTTGCTAAATGCCAGCTCTATTTTCTAGGGGGAAGGAAGACAAATATCTTTTGCCCGATTTGTCTGAGAGATAATACTACAAAAAATGTTGAGCTAAAAATGAATATATATGTATTTGAATATTTATATATATAAACCTGAAAATTCATTGGAGTGTCATCTATGTATTGGTTCTGACTTGACAATTCATAACAACATATATGTAGATATAAAACAATGGCTGCAGAATCTAGGGAACCTATCAGTGTTTCAAAAAGGCTTTTGTTTTTTCTTTTTGTTAGATTCATGCAAGTATTTAAATGTAACATCTACACATATAGACTTCTCCTAAAAGTGAATGGTGAGGCTTTATATATGAAAAACCCTTCCTTTCAATGAATGAGGAGCAGCCAGAGGGAAATGAACATGTTGTGGGTAATACTGGCCATTTGCAGTGTTTAATGCATTTAAAAAAATGAATCCTTTCTCTGGAGCTGTTTTTGATTCAGACTTTTTGTTATTGTTGTTGTTAGATAGCTGTTGGAAGGGAAAAAACTGCAAACAGTGTTTCTTGGAATACTTGAGCATCAAACTCAGATATCACACATCCTCTGGTCCCTCCCTCAGTCATTGGTGATAGAGTACTCTCTACCAATGGTGTTTCCAGGAAAGGATTCTGGGCTGTGGATACTGAGTTTAAAAATTTCCACAACCTCTTCCTTGTCCTAAACCAGTGACTCAATTTTTTATTGCAGTTG